ATATAAACACACGCACACAAAAAATGTACATATGCATATACACATATACACAAATATCCATATGCATATACATACATACACAAATATCCATATGCATATACATACATATACAAATATACATATGCAAATAAACACACATACATAAATATATATATATATATATATATATATATATGCAAATATATATACACACATACAAATGTACTTATGCATATAAACACACACACACACACACAAAATATACATATGCATATACATACATACATAAATATACATATGCATATACACACACACACACACAAAATATACATATGCATATACATACATACACAAATATACATATGCATATATATCCACACACACAAAATATACATGTGCATATAAACATACACACACAAAATATACATATGCATATACATACATACATAAATATACATATGCATATACACACACACACACAAAATATACATATGCATATACATACATACACAAATATACATATGCACATACACACACACACACACAAAATATACATGTGCATATACACACACACACACAAAATATACATATGCATATACATACATACACAAATATACATATGCATATATACACACACACACAAAATATACATGTGCATATACACACACACACACAAAATATACATATGCATATACATACATACACAAATATACATATGCATATACACACACACACACACAAAATATACATATGCATATACATACATACACAAATATACATATGCATATATATCCACACACACAAAATATACATGTGCATATGAACACACACACACAAAATATACATATGCATATACATACATACATAAATATACATATGCATATACACACACACACACAAAATATACATATGCATATACATACATACACAAATATACATATGCATATACACACACACACACAAAATATACATGTGCATATACACACACATACACAAAATATACATATGCATATACATACATACACAAATATACATATGCATATATACACACACACACAAAATATACATGTGCATATACACACACACACACAAAATATACATATGCATATACATACATACACAAATATACATATGCATATACACACACACACACACAACTGTCCATATTTATGTAGACACATTCACAAATATATATATATATATATATATATATATACATATACACACACACACACACACAAAAATGTACATAGGCAAATATATCTACACACACACACACAAATGAAGATATGCATATATACACACACAAACACATAAATGTACATATGCATATACTTACACACACAAATGTACATATGCACATACACACAACTACAAATATACATGTCCATATAAACACAAACACACACACAAATATACATATGCATATCAACACACATACTCACACATAGATAAACATATGCATATAAACATACACACACAAATATACATATATATATATATATATATATATATATACATAAATACATATACAAAAAGAGACACATACACAAATGTACACATGCATATATATACACACACACATACATTCACAAATATACATATGCATATAAAAACAAACACACAAGAATACATATGCATATAAACACATACACAAATATATATATATATATATATATATATACATAAATGCAAATATATACACACAGACAAACAAATGTTCATATGCATTTTAACGCACACATACACAAAATATACATATGCAAATAAACACACACGTACACAAATATATATATATATATATATATATATATACATGTATATATATATGCATGAATACACACACACACAAATATACATATGCATATACACACATACATAAATGTCCACATGCATAAACATACATACACAAATACACATATAGAAATAAACACACATACACAAGTATATATATATATATATATATATATATATATATATATAAACATATATATATAAACATATAGATATTCACCACACAAATATACTTATGCATATAAAAATACACACACACAAAATATACATATGCATATACACACACAAACAAATATATATATGTATGTACACACACACAAATGTCGATATGCATATACACAGTATTACAAATATACATATAAATATATATATATATATATATATATATATATATACACACACACAAATGTTTATAGGCATATATATTTAAACACACACACACAAATGGAGATATGCATATATATTGTCACGGCCATAATCATGTAAGCTAATAATTACATATACAAATAGGTAGAAGTAAGTAAAAGTAGGTCAAAGTAAATTCTATAATATTTAATATCAAAGCTTCTTAGAAGGTTTCTAGACGCTGCTTTGACTTCATACGTGTCTTTAATTGACTTTTTGGATTAGAAACGTGGTCAACAAGTTGGCCATGTGCCACACGTGTTGTTAGCTTGAAGATCAAGCTAACTATGTGGCCCACACATAGAAAAACTTGCCTTGTAAG